AGTCTACAGACAGCAGTCTTATTTACATCCTGTTATCCAGCGACCCCAGCAGACGGGCCAACAAAGGATGACAGAGCCGAGAAACCCACGCCGGGTCCCATAAAAAAACCCTGCAGGTTCCTGGCCGTGCAACATGCTGAGCACAGAGCGGAGTCGTACGCACACGAGGCCGTGCAATCGTGCACATTCCCCCCCAGCCCCCGCACGCCTGTAACGTGCAGCACCGTAACGTCTGGGTGTCAACCCTTTCACACTAAGTTTTCTGCTTGTCAGCACCACGAGAATAAATCCTGAATTATCCTTCAGCAGTGTCCGCAAGGGATATCAGATGGGAGGTGAAGAGAACGGCAGCGAGTGAAGGAGGGAAACGTGGGACGGAAACGGAGAGAGAGCGAGAGAGAAGGAGGCAACGAGAGCAGGTACGAGACATCTACGGCGGATCTGAGGATGAGTTTCTCTCAGATGTGTTCAGTTGTACGGGGAGAATTATAATAAAGCTTTTGATCACACAGGACTTTACATACCATCTGTTCTCCACACAGTCAGGGGAAGGAAATGCTACACATCTTCCAAAGAATCCAGCTTGGAATTTAAAGATTACGACTCTGCTGTCTTATCCAAGAAGTAAAAAAACATAAAGGCATCTATCTATCTATCTATCTATCTATCTATCTGTACATTTCGTTTAAGTATGCTACTGATTTGATATTTTTGAAGACTTTTCTCATACGTTTCCTGTTTATGCCTCATAATACACAATCATGGAAGAAATACTTTATCTACAATTGTTGAAACAGTTGTGGAAAAACACCAGACACCCCGACTCCTAGAGGAATTAAGAAGGGAAGTAGCAGCTAGATGTCGCTAATCACATGCAGTGGTTAACTAATCGTTAGCAAGCGTCGGCAGTACCACAAAAGCAGGCATGTTGGTAGTTAGCATGGGGCTAAACTTCACAATATGTAGCCCTCAGCAAGATTGTTGAATGTTAAACTTTAGGACAGTACAATGAGACAAAGACTGAAAAGGGATTCCTTGTTAGCAGAGATGTGCAGATTTTCGCTAATGAGCTAATTTTTCACTTAGAGCTTTAGCATTTTTGCTAACTTTAAAAACGTTTAGGGCTTCCTCTAAATTAACTTTTCTGGATAAATTAAATAGCACCAATTTACTTTGCTGTTTTACACAGTTCCAGTTGAATAAAGTTTGACATTTTGTGTTGAAGTTTTGATTGTAATCTTTTAAGAATTCTTCAGCTAATCAGATGTCTATGTTAATGCTCTTATTTTGAAGTAAGTCAAGACTGTTCATGCAGCAGTTCATTTTCCTGTCCTTGTGTTTTCTCTTTTTTCCATCAATAATTTATGTTAAATAAAACACAAATAGGATCAAAATAAAACCTAGACAGTAGAGAGAGCAACATAAAATATCTAAGGCCAATATAGAAAATATAAATTATAATGTCCTGTTGAAATGCAAAAAAAGGACTATTTTGAAATTCTTAATATATTTCAGGTTTGTTTTATTAGTTTTAGATTGACACGCATATATTGTAATGTCAGTAATTACTTTTCGCTGTGATTACGCATGATAGTTTTTCAGTGTATTGCTTTGTCTTCTTTTGGAGAAATACTTTTTCTTTTCTGTGTAAAACGTAGATCTAAGTCGGCGCTGAATCATTTAATAAACACTTTTGCACTTGCTGCTCTAAACACCTACAAGTCTGATGGCTGCTTCCTGGGAAGACGCCTCCTACTCAGACAAAGTGATGCGTTTAATGTTCGCGGTTTTGTTTCCACACAAGGAGGACCGGATCGCTCACAAGTGCAGGAACTATGAGGATCTGACAGGGAAGTCTCCGTGTCAAGGCTCCAGGTTATGTCCCATAGTTTGTCTCATTTTTTTAGGATATCAAATTTATAACTGTAAATGAATTAAATTGACTGGGAAATAATTTGAGTGTCTTAACTCTTAAATTTAGGTGCAGAATTGACTGTAAAATAGGTTTTACATGTAATTTAACGATCCGTGGGCTAATTAGCCAATCTGCAGCTCCAAAATATAAAGCCTAAAGTTATCTGAAATGTCTCCCAGTTCCAGTGCTAATTGTTGTTTAAAAATTAAAGATTTTATTTAATTATTGAGAGGGTGCACTCACAATGTTATTATATTTGATAGAAAAGGTCTCAAAATGGCAATATTTATCGTTTATCGCAATAACTTCTGGAACAATTGATCGGCTGTCAAAACGCGTTGTCGTGACAGGCCTAAATTTGCATTAAAACGATCGTACACTGTTTTTATTGTACACACGTTTGATAAACGATGGCTGTCGTGAGTACAATGAACAAAAAAAAAAAAAAAAACTGGAATATGCTGTGCTTTTCCCCCCAAAATATATCAGAAATTTGCTTTTGGCAGACGTCATGTGTGCCACGACAAATAAAAAGACAGACTCATCAAACCCGTGCTCGGCTTACGTTGAAAACAAAAAATTTTGACTTCTCGCCGTTGTCCAAAAGAGACAGTCCAGGCTTCATTAAGTAACTGAGTAACTCACAGGTGTGGCTCAACTCTCAGTTAAACGTGAAGGAGTGAATCATCCGACAGCCTCCTGCTCTGTCCTCTGCGCTGCCCTCGGCTCGCAGAGTGGCTCATGGTTACAAGCCAGCAGAGAGAGCAGCTAACACTCCGTGTCAGCGGGACGTCCTGTTTAACTTTTCATTACTTCACCGAGCAGAGTAGCGTTGTAGAGCGTATACTGTAATGTTACCCGCTTCCTGTGACCTGACACGGACCTGCTGGGATCCCTTAGAGCAGAACAGCTCCAGTACCTGAGAATGGTTTATATATATATATATATATATATATATATATATATATATATATATATATATATATATATATATATTCACCACCACAGGTGTAAATGTCATACTAAATGTCATACTAATGATTTTTATTTCTTTAAGAATCAGTTTTTGAATGAACCATTCAAAGGACTGCGAGTACAAATTTCTCTTAAAAAAGACCAGAGAGCTTCTGGAATAATTCTGGTTGGATATTGGGCTGCTCTTGTTGCCAGAATTGATACATGTCATTTAAATTGTTTAGCTCTGTAGCTACAATCTTAAGTCCACAAATGTTCAACAGAGTTGAAGTTGCTTCAAGTCTTTTGTAAAACAAAAGCCACTAGCAACTTCAGTGTCACCGTCCACAGCGAAGGTAGTTTAGCGTTTGCTTTAAAGCTGGGCTATTTAATCGATATTGTTGCTTATTTTAATTGTACGCAATTCTTTAAATGTCTTGTGAGTAAATATATTTGCCCATTTATCTGTAACGACTGAAACTTTCAATCTGCAGCAAGTTATTTTAGCAATTTACCATCTGTTAAAAGCGTCGCCCTCAGATTAATTTCACTCCCTGCTACAGCGGGGGTGAAATTACCGTAATGACCCGATATCGGCTGGAAAGCGCAACGTCTCCCCTTTCTGAATTTTCAGATAGCGCAAAGTATGGAGGAATTACAGTACTGCACATTTGGCCGGATTGCCATCGCTCCTTTTACAACGTATAGGGTTAACTTTTTTTTTTTTAAATGCTCTAGCGTAGGGGTGTCAAAAGTCGGTCCTCGAGGGCCGGCATCCTGCAAGTTTTAGTTCTCTCCCTAGTGGTAGTAACAACCTCCTCAGCAAGTCAATGTTCTCCTTAGGTCTTCTAACAAACCATCATTTGATGCAGGTGTGCTAAACCAGGGAGAGAACTAAAACATGCAGGATGCCGGCCCTCCAGGACCAACTTTGGACACCCCTGCTCTAGTGGTACATATTATCTAAAACTGTCACTATGATGTGACAGTTTGTTTTGAGACAGATAACCTGTGAAAGGCTACCATTGCCGTCTGAAGAAATGCACGCACCGCTTCTAGTCAAGAACAACCAATCAGAGCCAGGAGGAGGGTCTTAGCGCTGTTAACCAACCTCATGTGCGTGCTGCTAAATGTGCTAATGCCAGAGAAACAACTCATTGTTACAGGAAAACCATTTGTCTACCATCATCAGTTGCCATGCTAACTAGCATTAGCATCTGTAACAAGCTTTGTTGTGGTGAGCCACAACAAAGAGCTTAGCAAAGAGCAGGAGGGAGATTTTGAGAAACTTGTAAAGTTGGGCGATTTACAGCGCTAAGACCCTCCTCCTACCTCTGATTGGCTGCTTCTAGTGAGAAATTCATTTTTACGGATTATCTGTCACATACTATAATGTCACGACACAATGACAGTTTTAACAAATATGTAAAAAACATATTTTTATAAAAATTACATACACCAGCTTTAAAAGTATAAAACATATTTTTTTAAAAAGCTTCTGAAAAGGCCCTGACATTTAACCCTTAACTATTGTTTCAGGCAGACCATCATTTAAAACGAGCTCCAATATTTCTGAAGTGAAGAGAGGTCAATGTCCAACAACAATTACACATGTGAGGTTTAGGTGATGCTTTCTAAAATATTAGTGAAGATATATCAGGCCATACCAGAAAAATAAACGTCTTGAATGCATCATTAATACCACATTCAAATCTATGACGATTAAATGTTCCACTAAGTTGATCAACCACCATCCAGCGTTCTGGATGCTAAAAGGGAAGATAAAGACTCCATTTCCCAGAATGCTAGACGCCAACACTTCTGCAGTTCTCGAGGCTGCGTTTACGTTTTTTCCGTAAGTTTGCTCCTTTCTCTCACTCACTCGCACACAGACACGCTCACACCGCTGCAGCAGGGAACGGAGACTTTTGGACGCGTACGGTATGAACATTTAACCGCTACTGCATCTGCTGTTAGCCGCCATGAGAGCCCGGTGAGTGGGAAAACCGAGCCACGGTGCCCCGTTCAACACGCATGAAACGGAGCGCATGGTGGTGCGGCGACCAGCAGACACTGACGCATGAAAGGCAGTGGGGTGGAGAGATGGAGGAAGTTTAAAAGCAGCACTTACTTGCAGGACAGCTGGTTAAAACCGTGTATAAAGTAACAGTCTCCTCCGTTAGCGCAGTAGGCCCTTTCTGAGTCGTTGCAGCGCCTCACGTGACTCACACCTGGAGATGGGGTGGTGGTGGTCACTGATTAACACAAAGACACAGAGGGCACTCAACACCTGTTTAATAATGACACTTTAAAATACATCTGAAACTTATTTCACACACTATTATATAAATTAGTGCACGGCGTTTAGTTTCTGATGATAAATCAAACTGAAATTTCCCCGCTTTAGGTCGGCTAGGATTACAAAACGACTCTGTTTGCTAACCTGTTGAAAACAAATATTTTAGGGACGTTTCTCTTGTAAGTCAGAAGTTATACATTTAGATTTTTGTGCCTTTAAACAATTTGTCAGAGTTCGTACACGTTTCCCACAGCAAAATTCAAGCATTTTGGAGGTAGGCAGCAAAACGGCGAGATAATTTGAACAGTAGCACCGATTAAAAGAAAACTTGGTTGTTAATGTTTTAAGTTTCAGTGAATCCATTTTCACTTCCAGTGCAACAATTTTCAGCACATTTATTCCACAGTCAATTAATATTTTCAGCTGAAGTTACATTTTTCATGCTGCACTTCTCAAAACAGACGCTGTCATATGGAAATAATTTTACATACAAAAATTGAAGCAACATCTCAAAAGATCAACCAAGAAGTGAAAACGTCAGAAAAAATGCGTCTAACAAAAGGACAACAATGCTTAGCAGTTAGCACACCTCAAGAATATTACTATAAAACTTACTCTGGCACTTAGAAATAAATAATTTTGGCAATTATAACGAAGAGAATAATAACAATCGTACAACAAAACACCTCCAATACATTTTAAAAAGCAGAATTTCAGCTGTCAGCCAAGACAAGTCAAAAGGTTTCTGGAGAAACTGTTTCTGGTCCGGTGAGACAAAGACACATAGGACTACAACTTCAGTGAAATTGTGAGTCTTAACATTACAGTCAAATTTGCAACTAAAAGAATTAACTGAGAAGCTAAAATGAATGTAACATCCACAGATAGTTCGTGTAAATATCTGGTAGTCTCTGTACATTTAGTGACACATATTTATCCTCAGCAGTCAAGTTTGATTCAATCAAATTCAGAACAATTTGACTCCTGCAATTCACTTTGTATTCTAAATAAAAAGATGCTAACAAGTTCAGCTTCAAAACGCCGATCCGACCCAAACTGATGCATTTTTAGCTCCTGCATCAACAGCTCTCCATTTTCCCTGCGACTTGTTTTACGTCGTATTTTATTCACACACACTGACTCGACATGCAGACAGACATGCAGAACGAAGCCGCCCGGGTCCAGTGCTTACAGATCTGCACGGTGATTATACTCGTGGCGTTTTCTTGTCCTAATGTGTTTTCAGCCACGCAGGTGTAGTTGCCGGAGTCTTCCAGACGGACACGAGTGATCTGCAACTTAGAATTTTTTCTTGAGAGAGGAAGAGACGGAGACACGCTCAGTTATTCATGGTCACAGTAAAATGAAAAACTGTGTTTTCTTTTCTGGCAACTGGCACATAAACTGGTTTAAAAAAGACTTTGAAATAATCCAGAGAATCATTCATGGAGGAACTATGATCACTATTATTCACCAGTTTCACAGATAAACTGAAAGCCACTGAACACATCGGCTGCGTTCACACAGCAGGTGTTGATGCGTATTTCAGTTTGTTTTTTTTTTTTTTTTCTGAAATCTCCTTTTTTAAAAACTCAACCGCATGAAGCGACTTCTGTGTGAACGGTTTATGTTCCCAAAGCGACCCGTTCAGATTGCGGACACTCTTATCCGAATTGCCACCACATCTGGACATGTAGCAGACCAGAAAAGGTGAAAAGATCAGAACTGAGACGTTCAGACTGAGGTGAAAAAGTTGAATATTGGTCGCATCTGGGCAAAAAAAAGAAAAGAAAAGTGGATTTAGTTTTCATTTGCCTGCTGTGTGAGCGTAACCATAGTAACTGACGACCACATGACAAACAGTAGGTCTGTGAAACAAGCAGCGTCTGCAACACCTGCATAATGTTGGGGGAAAAAAACATCCCAGAATCAGATATCTTAATCGCTCTCGTTAAAATAACTTCATTCTTGTACTTTTACAACTTTATTCTGGTAACATTCCGTCTTTATTCTCATAAAATTACGACTTTATTCTCGTAATAAACAAAAAGAATCTCTTAATCTGGTCCTAATACTTCATTATATTATCTTAATGTGACTAACATCCTTCCTTTTTATCGGTAGCAGCTCATCTGGTGGAGGATGAACTCGCCAGGTGTCTCTGTTTTCGTTTCCTCCGGGTGATATCCAGACTCACTGAACTCACTCAGACACTCACACGTTGGTTTTTATTTTGAGGTCTCTGCCTTTCTGGAGTTCGCGTCCGTCTTTGTACCAGCGAAAGGAAGGGCTGGGGTTCCCCGACGCCTCGCACTTCAAGTACATCTTGCCCCCCTCCAACAGAGACTGGCCTCGCATCGGCCTCAGCTTAGGAGCAGACGCTGGACATGCAAAGACAGAAAACACACACAAGAGGGAGAGGAGGAAACACGTAAGTGGAAAATCAAAGCTTTTGTCATTGACAAACTAAAGGTTTTCATTGCTCTGTCTTTTTACCAGTGTGTGTGTGTGTGTGTGTGTGTGTAAGAAATATTTTAAGCACTAGAACCACTTTCAGAAGAACTTCATATATCTTATCATTTATCGCGATAAATTTCTTATAAGAGTTCCGATATATTATTGTTGTAAAAAAAATCCAATTAAATGATGTCCTTTGTGTCAGCATTGTCGTTTTTCTCCAGTTTGTTCAATGAGAGCATCAACAATATCAATACATTTGAAAATATGATTGAATGCGGTTACTATGTGCAGGTTAGTGATATAAATCACACTGTTTTATGTGGCTTGGGTCCTAAATACACATATCACACACGGGAATGTTTGCCAACAATGTTATCTGCGTCTGTGTTAGTCTGATTGCAGTGTCATGCTATTCCCTAAAAAGGAAGTAATAAACGGTTCTTATCGTCACTTTTATCACTATCACGATACTTATCACAAAATATCGTGATAAAACGTAAAGTTTGTCGTCCAGCTCTACTTTCTAACCTTCAGACAAGCCTATTAAGGAAAGCTACAAGGCGAACATTTGTCAAAATGTTCTTACTTTCCAGACATGTCCTCATTATTAATAACTAAAAGCAAAAGAGGTAAAAAAAACAAAAAACAACTGATACATCTAAATAATTGGGTACAAGGTGAATCCTGGACAGCAGAGATTTTTTTTAAATGAAAGATTTGAAGAGAAAAGAAATCCCAGCTCAAAAAGTCTGCAGTATCTTTTCACAATGGAGCAATCTGTGCATATATGTATACGTGTGTTTGTGTATGTGTATGTGCTTCATCTGTCTCCAGAGACTTTCCCTCTTTCTCTCCTCTCCTAAAAAACTACAGCAGACTGCATCACTGACACCAGCGCAGACACCAACATGCAGGAGCTAAAGCGAGGAGACAACCCAGCTCCATCTGCTAACATTTAGCCTCACACACACACACCTCACAGCACAGGGTTTCATCCACAAGTCTATGTGCACTAATATGGGGCTATCACACACACACACTGATGCTGAACAGTGACAGGACACGGTTAATCAGATGCAAGTTGTGTAGGCCCACAGCGCTGCTGCAGCGCTCAGTCCTGCTCAGATGGATGCAGCAGAAACAGAAACACACACACACACACACTTTGTGCACTTACATTAGAAAGTGTGGGTAAGAGTGTTTCCATTAGGGCTGGAACGATTTATCGGATTAATCAAATCGATTATTGAAATATTAATTTAGTAATCGATTAATCCCTAACTGGAGTAAACAGAGTAAAAAAAAGGCAATTTGCTGAAAAAAACAAAACATATTCAGAGCAAAAAGACAAAACTGCACAAAATAAATATGCATAAATGCAGGATTACAGACAAAAACACATTTGTCTGTAAATATGTTTTTTATGATAGTTTTACTCAAGTTAGTTTCACTAAAGCAGTGCTATAGTTTTGCATTTTAGGCAATAAGATGTTTATATTCATATTTGAAAAAGGAATTGAATTATTTATTTGCATCTTTGAATGTATTTCAAAGATTATTACATGAAAACGCCTGAGTGGTTAAGCAAAAAATCTGCAGAATATGCCAATTCATCTGATTAATCGATTGTCGGATTAAGTGACGATTAATCTGATTAAATAAAAAAAAATGTTTGTTTTTATTATTACAGATATTGTCATCATTAGACATCGTAAAACAGGAAAAAACAACACTGGAAAGTGTTGTATTAGTAGAACATGTGCCAAAATGGAGTCTATAGTTTATTTTTCAACATTTCAAGCACATGTGAGCCGATGCGCGTTTTCCTTTCTGGAACTGAAGGTCTGACAGGAAAATCTGTCAAATAAGTGACAATTTACAACCAGCTGGTGAGTGACTTGGATCAACTTACATATGCTGACAAAGCTGCTGTGTCCACAAAAAAAAAAAGAAAGAAGCTAGCAGCCTTAAGCAATCACTGCTTGATGAAGTGAAAGGAAAATTTTACATCATTTTCTAATTTTCTTTTTCACAAACTAAATTCTGGGAAGTATTGTGTGCGTTTGTAACTCTGGGGGAGCTGCAGAGATCCTCAGCTCAGGTTTAAGACTCTGCTGACTGTTAGTCATGCGCTTCACAAATCTTTAGCAAGAAAAAAAAACATAAGTATACCAATTTAAATTTTCAAAGAAGATCTTATTTAAATAACTTGCAGTTAGTTCACTAAGACTTTGTTAAAGGCGCTTCCTTGAACAGGTTAGGATATGTCTATGGGTTATACAAAACATATTACTTTTTTTTTTTTGCACAAAATCATTTTTGGATAGTGAGATTTTACTCTGGTCAGTTCTGTGAGCTGTTTTCAAGCCTGTTGTCACTTTAAATCCAAACAAGAAACGCAACGTTTACACTCGCATGCAAAAATGGCAGCAAACAGGTGCGTAATTATACAACCGAACATCTTTGAAAAGCAGAAGTGGAGCCTCCCACACAACCAACAGAAATGCTGCAAGTGGTTTCTGAATGGTAAGTCAACAATAAAACGCTTGTCTTTTCCAGCAGCCGTTGTACAGCGGTAAAACCAGCTGAACAAATGTGTCGGGGCTAATAGAGGAGCCATGGGTTAATAGAGGAGCCATGTTGGGGTAACTTTCTGAAGGCGCAGCTTCAGAAAGAGCAGGAGCTTCTTAAAGAGACGGAGACCCAATTTCAAGGCGTTAAATTACAAAGTCAAACTCCTTTTAAGTCATATCTGATATAAGCAGCATTTTTATAACAGCTGAAGGTAACATGTTACTTTACTGGGCTATAAAATGGCTCAGAGTCTATATGTACCTGGGAAGCACATAATACTGAAATACTTCAAAACAACAATTCAGTAAACCTAAAATACTACGACAAAAAACTGTTAATACTGTAAAATTTAATTGAATATATGGAAACACGTTTTCTACAACAAGGTTCCTTCAGCGTGTCCCGTGTCTGGCCAGCCGTCTCCTCCCAGAGGGACGCGGCGCAAAACCTCAGGTGAGAACCCAATCTGTCCGTCCATCTGTCCGCCGTGACATCATTCATCAGCTTTTGTGAGGACTTGTGTGTCCACACCGAGACATAAGACAATAAACTAGCTTGACATCCAGGGAAGCTGCATCAGACCAAGGAAGAGACTTAAAGGCCCCGTATGAACAAACTGAGCGAGGAGATAGAGGCAACTGAGAGAAGCTATGTAACTGGTAGCTTTACAGCAGGAGGATGTAATATTTTGTGATGTCTCCGCCTCATACTGGAGAATCTGTGCTGATCAACATGGCTCCATCTTGACTCAGATTCACAAGTTCCAACGTTACACCATCCTCCCATTCCCCAAGAAATGCATCGATACGGGCTTAAACGACAAGTGTCTGAGATCATAAAATCCTTTGAGCAACTTAAAGGACATGGCAGGCCCACTGCTGGAAGCGTCAGATTTCAGATTACACCAGATTACACAACTACACTTCACCCTGCGCCACCTCGACCACCTAGGTACGCACGTAACGGCGGCGAGTACGGCCATTATAGATTTCTGTCAAAAAAAAAAAAAAAATGAAATTTTGACATCAATTGTACAACTTTTTAGGAAAATAACTAAATGAAAAGTAATAATTACAAGTCAAAATGTTGCAAGAAAAAAAATTCTGGGATTTTCAACATTAATCTCAGAAATTTTAGAAAGGACTTGAACATTTCAGGGTTTGAAAAGTCAAAAAATTAGCTGGAAAAGTCAGAATTTTTTTGATTAATCTCCTAAAGTTTCTAGAAAAAAAACTCGGAAATTTCTACATTTCAACTTATGGAACTCAGCAATTGTCAAAAAGTCAAACATTTTTGAGATGTTTTTTTTTTTTTTCTTTTTTAATCCTGTAATGTTGAACGGCATGGAATTGGTGAAAGCACAATTAAAAGCCTTTAAAACAACTAAATATTTAAATTAAAGACAAAACTAAAATACCTCATCTTCTTTTTGGTATTTTTACATCAGACTCCAGAGAAGTCGGCGCCTCACCAGTCACTGATCAGAATGCAGTTAGTGAAAACACTTAACTCAAAATCTTTTAACTTTATGTTCAGCAAAATATACGTTGATATTATACAGATTTATATGACGCTTCATCAATTATTAACCTAACATCTTACCAAACCTCTTTTGGTCACACAGACTGTAAAAGAGAGTTTTTGGTGAAATATTGTAACATATCTTTTTTACTCCCAGAAAACTGACAAAATGAACCCAAAGCGTTTGTTTAAACTCACATATTAGATCCTGCGTTCTAGTTTCCTTCATAAAGTGCAACAGCTTCGTTGCTCCTTTTTCTTTATTTGTTTCAAAGGCTGCAGAAACAGCTCTGATCCTTTGTTTGTACAGTTTATTGCTCGGCGTCTCGCCCGATTTCAGCTACTAGTTCTTCCTGCCGCTCGGTGGAGAATCTGAGCGATAAGTCCTGAGATCGTCTGCGTAACCTCGACTTTTAAGTTTCTCCTCAGGAGTGACGCCTGTTAGCTTTCGACTGCTTCTCGTTGTGACAAAAGCTTTTTGCTTTCTTTGTGTGTTTCCCAGAAATAAAGGAGATTTCTTGAACAAGCAGGCTAATTTTCTTAAATAGGACACGGAGACACGTTCCATAACAAATATGAACAGAAATTAAAAGCTGTTGAATTATGTACAAATACAGAAGGTGAATGGTTATCAATTCTGAATGGTTTTCTTTCAAAAATTATTTTATTTTATCTATTTGTTTTCATAATTTGTAATTTTTTTTTTTATTTTTTATTTTTTCCCCTTCAGGTTGTTTAAAATCGCGAATTGCCTGCTATGAATGACCAAAGGAATCATAGAAAGCATGTTAAATAAAAATGAGCTTTTAGCATTTTTATAATTTTTGGTAAATATGAATAAAAGCAGAGCTTTCCCATCTACTGTCTGCAGTCTCG